AAATTAAAATTAAGTCCAAGCCACAAGTTAACCGGATAATGAAAAACTGGGCCTAAAAATTTTAAAGAGTGCGACTCGTCGAGGACTCGTCGAGGTCAGAAATCGGATGATCGTCGATCCTCCCCTAAGGTCGAAGAGGAATTTGTTGCCATCGGATTCCAATAGGCGCGTCTGCGTAAATATAAACATCATTTACGCCCGTTCGCTCGTCATTATCTCTCTTGGAGCGTCAGGAACGTGCGATAGCGATCGTAAACACGCCACGGAAATCGTCGTCTCTTCCGACGTTGACACGGCGCGAAGCTACTTCCTTCCTTATTGTTTCTATAACGAGGAGAGTCGTGCGGTTGCTCGTGCGAGGCCGGAAATTCGAACGTTTTGAACGTGTCAGGACGTTAATAATGGGCCGCGTTTCCGGCGGTTGGTTCCTTAAGTACGCCCACGCGGCTCACGTTGAGAAATTTCGACTATTTTGAAACTATGAACACATTATCGAACGCGTGCCTCGGCCAGTCGATACCGTACTGTACTTCATTTGCGCGCATCCCGGCCTTCGCTACTTAAAAATTCATACTGGTATAATGTACATTAAGATGATCAAGTTCTTAAGAAAAGAAAGGGAATTTTTTTAAAAATTCAATATTGTCGCAATTAAATTGTAATAAACATTTTTTACTTCCTAAATTTTTTTTAAGTCTTACTTCAAAAGAGTTTATTCTAAAAACTTTAGAGAATATAATTGTTAATGAAAATGAACAATATTATATTTGTAAATAAAATTAATAATACTTAATGTATGACGTTACATGCAATAAAAATTATATCAAATTACGAGATCATATTTTATTTTTTAAAATTGTATTTTTCTACTGAATGTACTTTATGAATAATATCTGGGATTTTAAACAAAAAATCACGTTACAGTTGAAATTTATATTTCACTTTTGTTATTTTTACTTATTATTTCACAGTTATTATATTCACATTTAAAAGAGAGGCAATTAATATTTAATTACATTCTTAATTTGGGACAAAATTTGGCATTTGCAAAATGAAACAAAGAGTTAAAATTTACTGTCCCTTCTAATGTAGGACTGTTTGTCATTTTAATGTGCATGGCATGCGAGTCATTTGAATTCTACGTATAGGGCGCGGTCGAAATACGTGAGTGATGCTTAAATCACACAACGTAAAAAAAGCTTCCTCTAATTCCTGTTTGACCACGTTTACGGTTCATGACAAACTTAATCACTGGAATTCTTCCTGGAACACGATTACATCGTTAATCGAAGTAACAGCTATTTGCTTAATAAGAGATAAAGTTGTATAATGCTCAATTCAAGAAACGGTAGCGTCTCGCACAAAGACATATTTTTTATGCAATACTTCCTTTCGTAGACGAGATACTATATAGGGTATCCTTTATAAAGAAAAGAAGATTCTTAAAAATAAACTAAATTATCTTTTTAAATCAATATTGTTGAATAATGCAAATGTCAAACAAGAGGCTTGTTTTTTATCTGACCTTCTTGGTTTATTTTTGATCTTTTTCTTTTCTTATTAATGGAAAAAAAAGTAAGACGAACGGTGCAAGAAGTTTAGCTAAAAAGAATAAAATTATAGGATTGCTATAGAACTAGAAATCAAGGAAATGTCAGGGAAATTAAAAATGGTCAGAAAAATCAGGAAAAATCGGAATTTTGTGCAAAATTAAAATTAATTTTTATCTTTAAAGAAATATACATATTAGA